CCTCTAGGAGGCCTCCTTTTGAGCTTGGCAGAGTGGCCAAACTAGCCAATCATAGCATCAGAACTCTAAGCACCTGAGAAAGAGCCTCCCATAACATTGTGTTGTGCCATGCTCAACAGAAATAACCCAGGTGGATAGCATTTACAATTAGGAGCTCCTCAGTTGCTCATTCCACCACTGAGTTTACAATGACTTATGGGTAGAAAAGCCATACTAAGTAATTTACTACACTGCAGCTGCTCAAAACATATACGTCTGATCCCATCATTGGAACAACCACATCACAATTGCTTAAACCACAGAGAATTGTGGTCCAGCCAAGTTGACACAAAGCTCCAACTATCACAGTCTTCCCCTTGTCAACTTGGCAGTTGTGCACATCTTTTTAACCATATATAATCTCTAAATAAGAACAATTATAAAGTTATATTTGCACCTAACATGATACGCTAACACACGTACAGCCGAAACACATTAACCTTATTTACATTTCACAGTTCATAACAGAAGGAAACAAAAACATTTGATGCACATATACAATGAAGAAATATAACAATCACAGTCCTTGTTTCTGCAACTGGTCATGTGGTTATAGCTGATATTCAGAACTACCTTCTTCTACCACCCATTCTGTATTTCCCATGCCCTCAGCAAGCACCTCTGCTGCTCGTGGTTCTTTGCCTGCTGCTGTGACCCAAACCTTCATTCCTGAAGAGTCTGGGCCATTAGCTGTCATATCAGAATTAAGTTGCTATAATTTTCCATTGACTTTAATCACAGGGCATGGTAGTACTGAGATGTCCTAAAGAATCTCCTGTATTGCAGACATATTCTTTTTTACCTCCATTATGTAAAGTCAATCCAATTTTCCCTTGGTAATCAGGATCTATTACCCCAGATAGTACAGTAATGCCCTTCTTTGTCTGTTGATCCAGAGGCATGAGGAAGCCAAAATGGCTAGTTGTCATTCTTAACTTCTAGTTCAATGCAATCAGTATTATGTCTCCAGGTGGGAGTGTTCCCCCCTTTGGAACTAAGATCTCCAGATCCTCAGAGCATAGGGCAGAAGGGGCAGGAAGCAAAAATTTTTTGAGTAGGTCACTATGGGTAATAGTGAGTGATACCACTCCATTTCCACCTCTTGGTTCCTGGACCCGTGAATCCTGTCTATTGGAGAAACAGAACCATATATTGGACACTGGTTTAAAACATATACAGCTTCCTGGAGAACATTGCCCCAACCCTTCAAGGTAATGCCACCTAGCTGGTGCCGTAATTGTGTTTTCAGTAGGCCATTCCCTTGTTCTATCAAGCCAGCTGCTTCAGGATGATGGGGAACATGGTAAGACCAGTGAATTCCATGAGCATAGGCCCATTGCTGCATTTCATTTGCTGTGAAGTGAGTCCCTTGATCTGAAGCAATGCTGTGTGGGATACCATGATGGTGGATAAGGCATTCTGTAAGTTCACAGATATTAGTTTTGGTAGAAGCATTGAGTGCAGGGAAGGCAAATCCATATCCAGGATAAGTATTCCAGTAAGAACAAAACACTGTCCTTCCCATGATGGAAATGGTCCAATATAATCAACCTGCCACCAGGTTGCTGGCTGATCACCCTGAGGAATGGTTCCATATTGTAGACTCAGTGTTGGTCTCTGCTGCTGGCATATTGGACACTCAGCAGTTTGTTGTTGTTGTTGTTAAGTGCCGTCGAGTCATTTCTGACTCATAGCAACCCCATGCACGGCAGAACGAAACACTGCCC